TAGATAGAAGTGTGGGTCCTTGTTGAATCGTTTTGAGCATTGATTACAGCTAGATGATTCCTCCTTGCATTCAACGTTTGAATCCGGTGGATTATTAATTGATTGGATAGCATCAGATCGCAACAAAAAAGACTACAACCCCCACTCTAAAGGAATAAAAAAAGAAATAAAAAAAGGATGTTGGATAAATCTTTCCATCTTGGTATGCACAAGGTCTACCATCTTGGTTGTAGGGTCTGAGTCTATACCAATATTTTAAAATCCGACCTGAAATTTGAATCGTTCTGGCAATCGATTTTTGGGTTAATGGTACGATTGTCAGATTCTAATGAACGGTCTATTTTAACAAAAAATTAAAAATCTAATTAAAATAAAAACCATGGATCAAATGAATCAACAGTTTGATCATTCGGGTCAAAAGATCATTAGCCAATTCAACAATTTTTTGGCCTAAAATGGAATTGATTACTTGAATGATTCTCGGGCGAAACAACCTGACCATCCGAATAAACGAGCAGATTAAAAACATTGGTTTATCCCATTTGCATGTTTAATTGAAGGAATCTACGTGTATAAAAGTAGTACTACTTGCAGCTCAATTAATATTTATCTTACAAACCGTCGGTTACCTTTGATTTATATAAATATAATCAGCTTTTCTACTTTAAACTAAAAGTATTGATACTGGTTGTTAAAAGTTAAAGCCAATTTAGCTTTTCTTTTTAATTATCATAAGAGAATTAGATTATGCAGATAAACAACCCCGGTGGGCCTCGACACAATGGTTGGGTTGCTTCGTTGCAATCCGGGTGATCAGGGAGGGTTTAAATGTTGAAAGTAACCTCTAGAGGAGTAATTAAGGTTGTGCACTGCAGTTCTTTTAATGTTATCATTCGAATCCAGATTAGCTCAATGTTTTAGCTATGTGGCGGGCTGTGGAACCAATGATTATGTTTCACATCAGTTAAAAAATACATAGCACTTAGGGGTGAGAAAAAAAATTAAAAATTGAACCGAAAAATCAGTTAATCGAATCTATCAGTTTAGTTTTGGTTTGGTACTTTTAAAAAAGCAAAGGTACTGGTTCATTTTTGATTAACTAATATAGAAAAATGATGGTTAGCTGAACCAACCGATATACATATATTTCTATATATTTTATATATTATAAATTAATAAATATGCATTATATATATGAATATATATTTATAATATATATTATAAAACTTAAAAAACCAAACCGATAGTTAACCGACCGGTTAACCGATTAACCGATTGATTTCGATTCAGTTTCGGTTATCGGCTTTCTAAAAACTGATACTACCGGTTTGATTACAAAAAAGGCTTACAGTTCGATTACGTGAACACCCTTAATAGCACCTACAAACATTCAACCCCTCGCGTAAACACCCTTAGGGGAAGATATTTCTAATGCACAATTGTGATGTCGCGTGAGGTGCACTCTGTGAAGAGTAAATCCGAATTCCCTCGATTCAAACACTTATATATCATCCTACTACCGTGATCTCATGAGCCTTGACGGAGTTCATCTGACCCATCATTGTACATACATACATAGATATTGTGAGTGACATCAATTTAGTTGAGTTGGTTCAAACGCTTTTCATGAGTGGGAGGAAATTGTAAGATGGAAATGAACAATTGAGGGGGACATCTTCAATAATTAATATTGTACAAACAAGAACGCAGCCAAGGATCCCTTTATTAATTTGGATTTATGTGGCTTCTAGCTTTTTCTTTGGTTTTTGGCGATTAGAAAGTGTTTGAGAAGCTTTTGGCCCATTGATGAGAACAACGACTTATTAGGAGGAGACAGAAGGCTTTCCATTCCAAGACTAAAACAGTGTGCTAGCTTAGCTGTTGACAATTGACATCAATGGTGGCATGGGGCGGGGCGGGGACAGGGAGCCTCTCTCCATCCCTGTCTTCATGAAATCCCCATCTCCGTCTCCGTTCCTATTCTCATCCCCGTTAACGAGGATAAGATTATCCCCATCTCCATCCCCACGGGGATCCCCATTTCTCATAATTTTTTATAATGTTAATAATTTTGTTTTTATTTTTTATTTTATTAAAAATAATAATAAAATAATTAAAATTTACAATATATTAAAAAAGACTTAAATATATTCAATTATATTTTTAAAATATTAATATATAGACGTATATATACCTATATAACGTATGCATATATATATATATACATATATATTAGTGGGAATCTCATGGGTGGAGATCGGGGTTCTTGCGAGGTGGGGAGTATTATCTCTATTCCCGCCCTATCACCATTAATGGAGATGAAAATTTCTTCATCCCCGTTCCTGCAGGAGAAAATCATTCCCATTCCCATCCCCGCCCTGATTGAGACGGATCCCCACGAATATTGAAAAAATGGAAAAAATTACCATCTCTATTCATACAGTCATTTTCAATTGCAAATTACGACAACCATATGAATGATAATAATAATTATGTGGAACTCCGAGCCACCAATAAGGTCTCTAATCCATTAATTGGTTGGCTCGTGGGGGATATACGGCACCATGGACAAAATTAAAAGGACTGAAAGCAGAGGGACCAACAGCAACTAGATAAGGTACGTGGGTCAGGTCAAATCCTAGACTTAGAACAATGAGGCGCATTAATCAAATACCATAACATTTTACATATATATACTCTCTCTAATGGACTACTAAATTTCTTGTACATCACTTACGGACTTATTAAATGAATTTGAATGGTTTCTTGACATGGTATGAGAGTCCTATTTGATCAAGGTTTAACCATTAAGTATTCATTGGGTCGGTGTTTGTTCATGTTTCAAATCAATGGACTTTCACGTGATGGGATGTGTCAGGGATACAAGTGTCAATGGATCGGGTCTAGGTAGAACCAGTCTCAAAATGATTTTAAAAGGAAAAAAATAGTAGACCTTAAATGACTATTTAAAATAGTCTCAATTAATTATTAATTGAGACAAAATCATTTGATTAAATTTGTTTATTTAAATAACTATTTAAAATTTAAATTTTGATAATATAACCTTAAATGAAAATAATACAAAAATACTAAATTATTTATATGTTAATAATAAATTAAATATTTTAACTAATATTATCATATTTATTATCTATCAAATTTATTATTTCAAACATAAAATAAGATAAAAATTATAAGAAAATTAAGAAAATATTATATATATATATATATAATAATCAGCTCCAGAAGACAAGAACTGGAATTGCCCCAATTACTAATTGGTACAAAATCATGGAACCAAAACTGTTATAATTGATCCGATCGGTTCAGGTGCATCGGACAGGCCCAATCCATTGATAGCCCTAGTTATGAAATAAAAACTTACTCAGGAAGCCCGCCAAAAATGAGGAGGTTGGCTTAATTTCAGCTCGTGGGGGCCTAAAATGAGGATGTCAAGTTGGCTCCGCTTGCCTTAATTTGCATAAGAGATATGATATAGAAAGAGTTTTGACCAATCAAAATCCATCCATGAATTTTGATAAATAACACCCTATTTGCTCCGGCATTTGTGATTCAGTTTATTGGTCAGTTATTTTTCCCATATCATATCTTTTCCATATCATAGTCGAACCCATTTGCATTTTAGGCTTGCTTCCAAGCCGGAAAGTAGTGCTCATAACTGTGGGAACTTCCAATCTTTTATATATCGTTCCGGCTACTATATTTCTTTGAGAATAAAAGTTACCATCTTGGAAGGATGTGAAAGTAGATGTTTCAATAAAAAAAAAAAAAAAATGTTTGACCAGGTCTCTGCAAAACACTTTTCTTGGTTTCAAATTTGTTTGTGATCAAAAACCTAAAAAGTTGCCTTTTGGCTAAAAAAATCCAATTATTTTGGAATAAAGCAAACAAATACCAAATTTATACTTTCTTTTAAATGACAGTATATAGGAGTCCTTGATAGGTGATCCCAAATGACAAGACTTTGTTGAGTGGAATATATATGCATGGTTACAGGTAGAATACCTGCAAAAATTGTCTTTCCTGTTCCTAAACTTACTTAAACACCCCTGGTCCTAGATCTGTTTAACTTTCCTCCAAAATTTTCAAACCCGTTATGATCCTAGATCTTAACCAATTATCATTTAATTGGGTGAGATTAAATGGATCAATTGGATAGTACCAAAAAAAGTCATTAAAAAAAGGCTAGTTCATTGTTTAGAATTTAACATACATAGCAAAGCTTCAATAGAGAAAAAAAATACTTCAAGTCTATTATTATTATTAATCAATCAACAACGTTCAATAAAAATCAACATAAAACTACAATACATTTGATATTACACAAAATTCTTTCGAATAAAAGAACAAAACAGAATAATATAAGTCAAAAAGTAAATAAAACTAAATTCAAAGGACATAAGACCCTTAATTACTAGCTTTTAATTTTCCATGGGAATATCATATTTCATAAAAGAAATGCACATTGGGTACCATAAGGTCAAAATTCAAACTTTACAGACATACATGTAGAGTTTTGATAATTACTTCATACCTAAAAATTCTTACAAAATTGTCATCCCTAATTATTTTTGTGAATTTAAAAACTTTGACTGAAAGGGCTCTTTGGTAATATAATTCTAATTCAAGGAGGTGCAATACAATATTTGAAAGATGAATAATACATAGAAAATCGAAAACAAAGAAAAAAGAAAGTTGAATAATACCTTTTCTGAAGAAAGAGTATGGACCAGTAGCATCGTTAATAAATAAAGTAAAGTATTTTGTCCGACTCATGGTGACGTGGACAGGATTGGACTGGTGGGACATGAACAAGGAATACCCCATTAACGGTAATTAACAATTTGGCGGGAAGTTGGACTTGTGTGAACAGCTTTTCGTGCTTGGTGGGCCACTCCTTTGGAATTTTGGGTTCCCTTCGCACAATCACACTCGAACTTTCGGTGTTCAGTGTCTGGCCTGAAGAACCCCTCGAAACCTTATATAACTGTCACGACTCCCTCCGTTCTGCTCTACCCAATTAGTTCTTCACTGTACTACATTAATTGACGGCCTTCTTTTAAGACTTCTCAGTGGCTTGGTTTTCAGACAGTCATCCACTCGAATTTACCAAGTTTTATGAGATTTTGGGTGGTTTTAGTTTCTTGGAATCGTAAGAGATTCCATTTTTGAAAGTACTAACTGCTTTTACTGGTGGGCTTCTTGTTAGGTGTTGTTTTCTTCTGTAACTGCTTTCTAACTTCTGAAAGCTTTGGGTTCTGGGTTCCTTCAGCAGTTTCATATTTTTTCTAAGGGTTGATTGATTGTTTGGGTGGGTGGGAGAAACTTCTGATTATAAGGACGAAGTTGAATCTGGGAAGAATGATTCTGTCGTACAAGGGGTGCATCCTCTGGAAGTTCTACTCTGTTCTTGAGAAGAAGTTCTGCGTCGACAAAATCTATTATTTTTGGATCTTCCAAATCTTCAATAGATACAGCCTGGAGACTTAAGGTTAAGCTTTTGGAAATTTGGTTCTTCTAGCTGCGTCCACTCTTGCTCTTTTTGCTGTTTTCTGAGAGTCAGACTGTTTGTACAATTAGAAAATGGGAGGAACATCGCTGCCGCCTGGCTTTAGGTTCCATCCCACTGATGAGGAGTTAGTGGGGTATTACTTAAAGAGGAAGATAGAGGGACTGGAATTCGAACTTGAAGTAATCCCAGTGATCGATTTGTATAAGTTTGATCCATGGGAATTACCAGGTAATCTTTAAACCTTTTGGGTGCTCAGAAAGTAAATAATTTACCAACTGTTCTTCATTCTTTTCAGCTCTTTTTCATAAACTATGGTAATGGCAACTGAAGATAATGCTAATTTAGTTGTTAAAACTTAGCAAGTGTTACTTGTTCTGTCTCCAGTAGCTAACCTACTGACTGTCTTAATCAAAAAGTATATATAGGACTGGATTCTGCACATCAGTATCCTGCTACAAATGGTAGGAGAGAACAACTTGGTCCTCTGATGGTGATAAACCATATGGATTAGTTTAGTTATTCACCACAAGGATGAAATTTCCCTCATGGCTGAGTAACTCATTCTGAGTCATGCTAAGTTATTCAATCCATAAAACAGAAGCTGACTTTTGATTTGGTAGTAATGATCGACTTCAAAGGTTGATATATTCAACCTTCTGGTTAGCCTAAGAATCACTCCTTAATCAGATAAACAGTCCTGAACAACTCAGTCAGAAGTGGTTCAGGAATAATATCAGTGGGAATCTGAGTTGGGATATATATTTTGTGCCAAAAAGGTTCTACTTGTGGCTTTTCTTCTCTCTGTTAATAAACCAATTGACAATTAGCTCTTTTGTGGGCATGGGCATCTCACCTTTACTTTTAAAAAAATTGTTTCACATATTTTATCCATAATAAATTCCATGAAAACGAAAAGGAAACTACAAACAGAACCTTTTTCCATTAATAATATCTTTTTTGCTTTTGATTCATTCCTGGAGGATAATATAACAAATGATCTACTGTGCTGCAGACAAGTCATTCCTCCCAAAACGGGATATGGAGTGGTTCTTCTTCTGTCCCAGGGATCGGAAGTATCCTAATGGCTCACGTACAAATAGAGTCACTGTGTCTGGATATTGGAAAGCAACTGGCAAAGACCGGAAAGTAGTATGCCAGTCTGCTGTGACAGGTCTCCGGAAGACCCTAGTTTTTTATCGTGGACGGGCCCCTCTGGGAGATAGGACAGATTGGGTGATGCATGAATATCGACTCTCTGATGATCCTTCTCATCAGGGAACATTCAGTTTTCAGGTATACTCAGAACTGTCACACATTGAGACAGTATCAGATACCCAGTTTACAAGTCTTAATTTTGACATATTAATACATACGCTTATTAAATTCTCCAGGGAGGTTTTGCTTTGTGCCGTGTAGTTAAGAAGAATGATCAGGGACTGAAGAATAAGGGAGATCTCCAAGGAGAACCCAGAGGCAAGAAGGTGGGAGAAACTTCTGTCACTGGAAAAATCACTCCCACAAGGTTGTTGAATGGTCTCTTGAGCAACACTAGTTCTTCAAACCCTGTTATGTCCCCTTGTGAAATTCCAACAATGAAAGAGTTCAGTTCAGAAAATTTGAACAAGATCAATCCAATGAACATCTGGATCTCACCTGATCTAATTTTAGACTCCTCAAAGGTACTAGACTTCCACAGGAAACAACTTCGAAGGCCAAATTAACAATATACTTTATATAAATTTTCTTCAACTTGTCCATCTTTTCGTACAGGATTACCAACAGGCACAAGTTGTAGCTGATTTTTTTCCTCACACTGACTTGCAAGGCTCAATATCGCCATGTCACCAGTCTGGTTCTGCAGGAATTTCTCCCACTTCATTGTACTCTAACTTCATAGAGGAAGTTGAGCCAATAGAAGATTTTGGTGGAATTAGCTGTCTGTCGTCATATACTGAGCCCACAAAATACATGGGATTGTATGGAGATGAGGAAATGACATATCAGAGCTTTGAGCAGACAAATTTACTAAGTCCATACCCATTGATCAATGGTGTGACACTATATACAACATTTTCTAATGAGAGTGATTATAAAGATATTTGAAGCTTTTTTTTTCCTTTAAATATTGCAGGTCTAGAAGCTTGGAACCCAGCTCCAATTTGCAGACAAAGCAGCGGAGATGGGTCTTTATGGGATCCAAGTAGTCTATGGTTGCACGAGGACAACTTGGCGATTGTGATTTAAGAGCCTAACCTTAAAAGAGGTTGGCGCCTACTAGTTTATCCTGGTGTCTAGTTACGGGTTTACTACTACAGTAGTTAATAATCTGGAGTTGGATCTCCAAGACATCGCCTTTTAATGATTTTTCTTGGAGCAGAAAATTCCAAGTACCACCCCTTCTAGTATCTAAGCAAATGTCCCCAAGTCTCTATGACAAATGTGAACAGCCTATAGTCTATGTTCCTATGTAATAGTAATCAGACTATCAGAGAACCACTTGAAACTTGAAAGTTGTATTCTCTTTTTCCTTGTCAACATCTTGCCATTGGCAGATTAATTTGACAAGTCATATTTTTCGCAGTGTTGTAATGCAAAGGTCTAACTAAGTAGAAGTTTTTATGCTTAGATATGCTGGTATTTGATTATGGAATTGAAAATAACAGTTGGTCTTGGAGTGGGATCTCTAGGGCAACACCTTTTAATGTTTGTTCTTGGACTTGGAGTAATAGTTTAAAAGAACTTCTTCTTCTAGTAATCTTTAAGCTGCTGTTTGGAAACGATGTAAATGGACTGTAAATCCCGGTTCAGGGTAAATTTGCACTCTGATTCATTTTTGCACTCGATTCCAAATGCAGCCTTAAGTACAAATAAAAATCCCCAATAACAATCACCTTGTAAAGATTGCTATTGGATTTGTTTTCATTGCAAGGTCTACACACCTTGTCATCTCAGTTCTTGTGTAATAATAATAAAATTATCTTGGGTTAGACACTATTGTCTCTATTATTTATTCTTAATTGCATAAGTACATATCCTATTTTTTGTAGAGGCTCTACTAATGCAGGGTCTAGGAGGGACAGATGTACGTAGCCTTACCCTAGACATATACTAGTTGGAGAAAATATAATGTTTTACAAGATTTTTAATGAGTGGGGAAAAAACCTACATCATTGCAATGCCAATTTGAATTTACTTGAGTGAGATAAAGGTAAAATTGGTGTAATGCCAAAAAATAAGACCAACACCAAGCAACTCTTGCACATGGTGTCCAGCCTTGGCCCTTGATTGACTAGTGGCGAAAGGTGAATGGAATATTGGACTGGTGGTGAAAGGTGAATGTTGGTACCACCATATACAAAGTGTTTGATAAGTTTTATGTGAATGCTAAATGCTTAAACTCTTGGCAGCACTCATGATACATCTGATACGGGGTGTATCGTATTATATCTTTAAATGTTGATATATCTATTTATAGGTATTCTCAGGAATTTTTTTATTAAATAATATATATATATATATATATCCCCATAGTACAGGGGAATGTATCCTGACCGTAAATTGATGCCAAATTCATGTGCAGGATGTGGTTTATAGGGGGAGAGGCCTAGTAGTAGAGGGGGCTGGAATTCAGAATTCTGCATTGGGTGTATCTGTACTTCTTCGTATTTTTTTCTTTGTTTAGATTTCCAAGGAAAAGAACACCCGTTCTTCTCACCTACCTCCTTTTTTCTAAAAGAATCTTAATAAAATAATGTTTTAAAAACCGAATTGGAACCAAAACCGCTTTGACCACTGGTTTTTGGGTCAGCAGTTCAACTGTCTGGTCTGAACAGATGATTCGTTATAATTTAGAAATAAAAAAATAATTAAAATAGAATAAGACAAAATCGGTGTCCAGCTGGAATGAGTTGATGGTTCGACCATTCGGGTCAATGGGTCATTGAACAGATCAACAGTTTCTAGCAAAACTAGTTGCCTGAATGATTTTTGGACTAAACAGTCCGATCGATCAACCGGATCAACGATGGTTTGAAAACCACGTAATAAAGGAACTACACTCTTGAACTTTCAAGATTTCCTAATATTAATACCACTTTAGTGTCCTCCCATTTAGGGATGTCAATGGGTTGGGTTCGGCACGTGTTTGCCTCACCCCTGACCCGACCCGGCTTAACCCGATTCTGACCCAACTCTACCCATAGCATTTCAACATGTTTTGAAGACCTAAAATACATTAATTTAAGTTTGGAAATTGTTTTATAGATTCTAAAGTGTTACTTTTTCCATTTAAAAAAAGAGGAAAATCAAAATCAACATTTAATAAATCATAAAATTTAAGATTATAAAGTTAGAAGTTAAAAAATTGTAAGAATACTTATATATATGGAAGGTATTATGACTCGGTGGGGCAGGTTAACCAAAACCCGAACTCGACTTAGGTCAAAGAATCAAAGCCTAACCCAACCCTAAAGCCGAATATACCTGACTCTAACCTGATCTGAATCCAATAAGAATTCATTATATTTTGATACAAATTTGAATATATTGTGAATATCTGATTGATTTGAATTGTAATAAAAAACACTTGATGATATAATATAAGTAATATATATATAGAATATACACAGTATATATAATATAATATTTCATAATTAATAGATAGGATTGGGGTTGTGCCGGATCAGATTGGGCTATATTTAGTTTGATCCGATCCGTCAACAAAATGGATCAACTTTTATGACTTGATCCGATTTATTAGGATCAAAGGTGTACGGAATCCGACCCTTACCGGATCGGATTTAGATTCAAATTAGATCTAATCGTAAAGGTATAAATTGGGACGTGCTGCTTGCCACGACACAATAGATTGCAAGCCATGTTGGGTTTGGGGTTTTAGGTTCATGGGTCAGCGTGGCACGACATGACCAAGTGGGTCGTGCTGCCCATAGCTCAAGTGTCGGCCCGGCCTGACCTGTGGCCCATATATATTATATAATATATATATATATATATTATAATTTTATTTTCAATTTTATTAATTATTTCATTTTATTATTGCATATATAAACAATTGTACACATCAAAATTCACATAAAATAAAATTTTAAGATCTTTTTTAATTTTGCCTATTTTTTAATTTATGTTAAAATTTTCAATTTTTTTTTTAATTTTAAAAAAATATGACTTGGCCCAATTTGTGGCCTAGCCTGCAGACCAGCCCGATCCACGACACCACATAGGTCCGTGCAGGCTCGCATTGTGGGTCATGCCAGGCCAAGCCAGAGGAAAGTACGGTTCAGCCCGTGGATTAACACAGCACACCCGAAATTTGCACAGGCTACACATGGGTCATACCATACCGGCCTAGCACGATGTAATTTACACCTGTATTTTATTTACTACCCTACCCACAAGCGAGACAGGATCTGCTCCTCACAAAAGGGCACCTTATAGGTACATCCACCGTGCATTGAAAATATCTCCCATGAATAATAATTAACAAGTATAGGAGATGTTTCCAATACATGATAGGATGTGCGTGTGAGGAGCAAATCCGATCTCCCCACAAGCGCTCCACCCGTCCCCGTCCATTGGGAACCTCTCTTATGCTTGTCATGAGAAGATGTTACCAAATCATGGAGGGGATGGTTGTAGTGCGCACATGGGGAGTGAAACATTGGTTAACTAGATTCTCTCCCTTTTCTCTAACCATAGTGGCATAACCCTTACAATTCTCCCTAAAATGACTAGAAATTTGCAACCACCAATGTATTCTAATCAACTCAACTCAACCTCTATTCCAACTATTTAGGGGTCGATTCTGGATATCCTGTGTTATGGGCCCAGGCGTAGGATCTCGTCATGGGTCGGTCCACGGGGAGAACCTCTTGCTTCCCCTTGCGCCTTCCTTTGCGTGCAGATCCTATTGTGAAAAACCGAATGGGTGATTTGTCCAAGAGACCACCCGAACTCTCCTCACTCTTCTCTTGACTGAAACTGAATACTTTATTCCCAAATCACAGCTCCTTAAATAGGAGATTACAAGAGGAGACTCCTTACTCCATTTGACTAAGTTAGGACAATCCAACTTTAAATCAAACTCCTACTTCTAACAGACTTCTAACAGAACTCAGTTCTTATCTCTAATAGATAAGTAAGAACAGAACTAGATAAATAAGAACAAAACTCCTACTTCTAGCAGACTTCTAACAGAACTCAGTTCCTATCTCTAATAGATAAGTAAGAACTAGATAAGTAAGAACAAAACTCCTACTTCTAACAGAACTCAGTTCCTATCTCTAATAGATAAGTAGAACAAAACTAGAGAAGTAAGAACAGAACTGGAATAAGTAAACTATTGGCGAACTGGCAAGAAGAGCTGACATGGCAAGATAAGCTGCTGTGTGGGCCCCCCTTACTACTGCTGCCGGCGGCGGTAATTCTTCCCACGAATGCATCCACAACATCTTGCCCATGAGAACTCTGCCCGCATTTACCCACAATACACTACCCTGTGAATTAGGAACATCTCTCCTTGCATAATACTATGTAAAGGTTGTGATGTTCTCCATGTGTGACTGCAATAAACGTGAACAGAGTTTGTGTGGATAGGAGATCCAGACGCGATAGGGTTAACCGGTCAACTAGGGTTAAACACGTAAAAAAGTGGAGTTGTTTGTTTCATTTTATTATATAGCCAGATCTAATTCCAGTCATATTGGAGAAAGCCCATGAGACCTGTATTACAATTTATGGATGTAAACTTGACATATTTATCATGTTCATTTTCTCTGAGATGCATTGACATTTGAGGGCAAGGTTCGCAGTTTCACACTGCTGCAACCCGGGTTTTCGATTTGAAGAAGAATTTCAATTACATCGGGTTCGGGTTAGGTTTTGGGTCCATTGAAAATACAACAAATTCCCAACCCGACCCAAGTTGCACTCCTGTTCTGTCGACTGTGTTCACTCGCACATGCTTAATCAGCCTTTCGTCCTTTCAACTTCAAATCAAGGCGTGTGGCCGTGTGGGTGTGGGGTGGGAGGATGTTTTGGTCATTTTGTACATGGCAATTGCATTCGTTTCGCAGAACAGAAAAGAAAAGGCGCAGGCGCGAAGCTCTGCTGAGCTTTAACTTCTGGTCATTAGTCTCTCACTAAATACTTGTTAATGGCTACGGCTGCATTAGCTAGGCGTTTGGGCGCTTCGGTGAAGGATGCTGGAGCGAAGAAAGGGTCGGGATGGTATAGCTCCCACATGGCAGCAGCTTCTCGAGCCATTTTGGAGCGAATTCCTTTGGTTGATTTTACCCTCGAAATCAGAGATGCAAGGGTAATGCCATCCCCACTACTATCCTCTAGCTTTTAAATTGTTCGCTAAAATTTCTGACTGATTCAGCCCGAAGAACAACCCAAGCATGGAATTATAAAGAACTTAATATATTCTATACCCATGGCATAATTTATTTAAAGTTCTCCCAAAATGCTACAATTTATTTAAGGAACCTAAGGTTTTCTATACCTTTGGCTTTTAAATTGAATGCATGATTGTTACCATTTATTGATTGAATGCTTTTATTTACATATTCGTTTTTAGATTCCAATTTCGTCTGCCTATGAAGATCTCAGAGACTTCCCACCCTCTTCAAGGCGTATCATAGTCTTGAACAAGACAGACCTTGCAGATCGTAGGCAAACAAAGGTACTTTACACTTCTTCAGTTCCTTGTCATTTTGAATCATGTTCCTTTTTAGTTATATGTTTTTATCTAAAAGTTAATGAAGCATAGTTATCTAATTGTCAAGAGAACTCTTAGTGATGGGAGAAAATACCAATATTTCCTTAATAAAATAATCCAATGAGGTTGAATGTGCAAGATCATGATTGTGATACTACAGCGCTTAAATGCCAATATTTGGTAAGAGGAGAATGGACATAAACTATGATAGTCTTTTCTCAAAAATCAAGGATGACGTTGGTGGAGGGTAATCAGATATTCGGATCTATTAGGCTCAGTTTGGAAGGAGTACAAATGCAAATATGTAGAGTGCAAAACCTTGTATTTTGTATGTTTTTGTACTGTACATATTTGTATTTGTACTCTTTCCAAACTGAGCCTTAACGATAAAATTTGTTTCAATTCTGTGCAAAATAGAGATGATATAATAGGATAATATGGGATAATTAGAGAATATGTAAGCAATATAAGAAATAAGAGTGTATAAAAAGGATGGTTTTTTCTTTGGGGAGGGCATGATTGCAGTAGAAACCTGATTCTTTTACACAATAATAGAAATGATTTTTTTACTTTATTCTTGAAGTTTAGCTCTTCATAATTTCAACTGAAATATTGAAACTTAACCTACATCGTAGTAAACTAAATTATTTGGAGTTAGGAACAAAAGATGATTACCAATGATTAGGAAACTGTGAACAGAAAGTGTATTTACCAGTGTATTTTCTTTTGTAATAATAAAATGGCATTGGAAAAGGTGACTGGTCAAAAGTACACTTACCAATTTACCAGTATATGTTATTTCCCTCATTCCAATTGTTGGGAGGGTGGTAAAGAGCTTCGAAAAAAATTCAAACAGAGTTCCTAGTAATATGTCTCCCTTTCAGAAGTTGATTGTTGTCCTCCGGATTTATTTATGCTTCATGTTTTTGGATGTGTGTGTTTTCTTCATCTTCCCTCTCGTGAACCTTTTAAATTGTCTACACAATCTACCATGTGTGCATTTATAGGTTATTATCTTGACTACAAGGGACACTTGGGAAGCCATGAATGCAGAGATTCATGCTATACATGAGAATGACACTTGGGATCTTGTGTTTGCACCTTTAGATGCCTCTATTATTGGGAATAGATGGGTTTACACTATCAATTTGAAGTGTAATGGCTCTCTAGACCGATACTAAACATGTCTTGTTTCCTAGGGGCACACGTAGGAACATAGTATAGATTATGAAGAGATGTTTCCCCAGTTGCCAAGATTACTATAATTGGTGTTCTTTTGGCTTTATCTATTGTGCATTCTTGGTCCATTTGTCAATTGAATGTGGAATATGATTTCCTTCATGGCCAGCTAAAGGAGACAATGTATATAAAACCTCCTCCTAGGTATTGTAGTGATCATTCCCCTGTCTGTAGGCTGAAGAAATCTTTATATGGTCTCAAATAGGCCCCTCGAGCTTAGTTTGAGAAATTTTGTAATGTCTTTATTGTTGTTGGGTATAGCTAGAGTTCATCTGATTATTATCTATTTGTTTGTAGAAAACCTTACAATATCACAATTCTCCTCCTGTATGTTGATGATATGTTATTAAGTGGGGATAATGAAGAGGGAATTGGAGAACTTAAATTTCTTTCTTCATAGCTTGTTTCATATGAAGGACTTGGGTTCTCTCACCTATTTCTAGGACTTGAGGTCCAATGAATTGATTGAGGATACTTCACTTGTCAACACAAGTATGCTTCTAATCTTGTCATGTTAGCCGGTCTTATTGATGACATAGGTTGATACTCCTTTTGGGTTGAATGTTAAGTTATCAAAGTCAAAAGGTTCATTGCTTCCTAATGTCACACTCCATCAACAACTTGTAGGGTCTCTCATTTATCTTAGTATGACTTCTCCTGACATCTCTCATGCGGTTCAAGTTGTTAGTCAGTTTGTCTTTTCCGTCCATCAATCTCACTGGACTGTTGTTCATCGAATTATTTGGTATGTTTGTGGCACATTATCACAGGGATTGTTCTTTTCTTCCTCTTCCATTCACTTAAGGGCATATGTTGAGGCTAATTGGGCAGGTTGCCCTGACACATAGCATTCTACTATGGAGTGGTGTGTCTTTATGGGTGATTCCCTCATCTCTTGGAAATGCAAGAAACGACAAACAGTCTCCAAGTCATTTAAGGGCATATGCTGATGTTGATTGGGTAGGTTGCTCTGACAGCCAACATTCTACTATGGGGTGGTGTGTCTTTATGGGTGATATTCCCTCATCTCTTGGAAATGCAAGAAATGACAAACAGTCTCCAAGTCATCTACAAAGTGGAGTGTAGGGTTATGTCATCTATTTGTAGTGAGATTGTTTGTCTACAATCTCTCTTTGAGGATCTTGGTGTTCATCTTCCTCTCTATGTTGACAACACTAGTGCCATCAAGATTGCTTCTAATCTAGCTTTTTACAAGATAAATAAACAAATTGAGGTGGATTGCCATATTTTTCATGTGGCCTCAAATATGTAGATTGCCATATTTTTCCTAAGGCTATGACGAGATCTAAACATCTCTTTCTTGTGAGCAAGCTAATGCTTATGACCTGACTTCAATTTGTCGGGGAGTGTAGAGAGTTTTGATGTATTGTACTTGTATATTCCCTTTTGTATCTTTTACCTTACTTATATTCTTTTATTTTTCTTCTTTTATCCTTGTAAGGGCTTTCTTGTAATTGTACATATCTTATATTGACACCCCTGAATTCTTTTGTTCTCTCTCTTGTTCAAACTAGTAGAATAATAGAGACTTCTGATCAACTTAAACATTGTTCTGTGGCATATAAAATCTGGACTGATTTTCTTTTTTCTATCAATTTATACTGCACCATCCTAAAATCACTTAAGGAGCTGCTGGAAAGTTGGAGGATGAGAAACTTAAACCAGAAGGGCAAGCTCATTTGGAATTTCATCCTAGATGCAGTGATTTGGATAGTGTGGATGGAAAGGAACAGGAGAGCATTTGAGAGTAAAATCTTTCAAGAAGATGAGATATTGAACTGTGCCTTAGGGAAAGTCCTTTCCTAGGTTATGGATTGTGGTGGGTAAAAGTTTTAAAGACCTCTGTTCAATCCATTCTTTCTTCTAAAATCTTGTTTAGGGTGTAAGTTTTGCATTCTGTGCCTTTAATTTACAAGGTCTCATTTTATTGGATAAGAAATGTCCTAGTGAGTCTTTCGTCCCTGTTAGTGTCGAGTATGTAGGGGTATTTCTGTCTTTGTGCTTGTGTTTAGGTGCTGATGTGTAAGTTTATGTTAGATTTAATGTCCCTAACTTAAGTAGGGGCATATGTGACTTTTCCACATTATTTTAGTAATAAAATACATTTGGCCGAATGGGAGAGTGCTTTTTCTCTCATTTGAACCAGAATCTTTTCTCTTTGTTTCTCTTCTGCTCTTCTCCTTTCTCTCTTTTTCTCCTTCTCTCTTCTCTCTCTCATCCTTGATTGTTATCAGTCTAACAGGCAAACCGAACACTAACATGGTATCAAAGCTGAACTGAGCAAATCGGATCTGCCCAGAATTCTGTTATCTGCACACCCAGCCTAGGGTTTTCTCTTGTTTTCTTCACCATCAGCTAGAGATAAGGGAAAGGGCTGAAAAGGAGTGATCGCCCTCTTCCCTTGGAGGTTTCTATGCCTCTAGTTGTGGTGTTTGTGGTCGGTTGCTGCAGTTTCTAAGAAGCCCTCCCCTAATCGATGAAGAGAAGAGGGCTGATTCGTGTGGTGCAGTGGGTGTCTTGTGTGGTTTGATTTTCGGGTGATCAGGTAAGAGGTTTTATGCATTTTTTCTTGGTGTGAATCAAATGAGAAGTCTATTTCAGACTGTATGGTGGGATTTCAGATTGTAGTGTGCTAGGGTTTGTGCACCCTTCAGTGTGATTCGAAGGGGGGGTGTTCCTCAAACAGTGTTGTGAAGTTTCAGGCAGACGTGGAGTTGGGTTTGTAGTGTAAAGAGTGCAATTCCTCAAATAGTGTTGTGAAGTTTCAGGCAGTCGTGGAGTTGGGTTTGTGGTGTAAAGAGTGCAATTTGCAGCAGTAGTAAGTGTTGAAATAAGTGTGTAGTGTGATCTAGTGTGCAGTTTTCCGAATTCAGCAATGGGAGACAACAGTGATAGCAAGACTTGTGTGATGGTCCCTACTGACTACTTGAATGTTCAAATGACCTCCATTAAGTTGAATGGAGAAAATTATGTACCTTGGGCCAAATTTGTAGAAGTCTTTCTTAAGGCAAAGAAGAAAGTGAAGCACATAAGGGACAAAAAACCTTCCACTGATTCTCATGAGTATGATGATTGGGAGTAGGTAGATGCATAGATCATCACATGGTTATGGAATAGTATGGAACCCAAGATTAGTGTAAATTTCATATTCCTTGATACTGCCAAAGAAGTGTGGGACCATGCTAAGAAGCTATATTCGGGTCAAGACAACACAACTAGAGCATATTAGTTGTACCAGAATACTTTAATCTACAACAGGGTAATCAGAGTCTTGAAGAGTACTATGTTAGTATGAGAAACATTCGTAATGAATTGAATGTTTATCACCCCCTCACTTTTGATGTCAAAATTCAGCAATAACAGAGAGAACAACTTGATGTGACTCGGTTTTTGGTGGGGCTGAAATTTGAATATGAACTAGTGCGGGCTCAGATACTAGGAGGGTCAGCTTTCCCTTCCTTAGAAGAGGTGTTTTCTCGACTCAGGAGGATTTTCATTGGATCTACCGAGAATCCTAATATTTCCGATAGATCAGCCCTAGCAGTATCCAGAGGCCATGGTGTTAGAGGTGGAGCTCGGGGAGCTCAATCTGGCCGTAGTGGTAGTAGTAGACCGACATATGGCCGGAGTGGTGGTAGTAGACCTACATATAACCGTGGTGGTGGTAGACCTACATATAACCGTGGTGGTGGTCGTACTGGAGG